CCTCGCCATTATCGCTAGAACAGCCCTGCCTCTGCGGGTAGCGGTCTGGGGGAGCCCAATAGGCCGGTAGCGGCTCGTAGTGCGGCCTTTTCCGGCCTCTCCGGAGGCTATAAGGCAGCTAGTGAGTGCTAATGAGCCCAGCCCCAGGTGATTCCCCAAGCACGCCCGAAAAGCTCTGCTTGAGAGAAGAGCCCCGTTCGACCTAGGGCTGTTCATTTTTTGAAGTCGGCAATTCGCCGGCCAGATATCTTTTCATTCCGTGCAACTAAGCGCCGTGAGGTGGATGGTTGCTGTCGACGGAGGAGTTGTCGAATTGAGTATAGAGCATGGCATTCCCACTATGCTCCAACACATCATCAACCAACCGTCTATGCGTGTCAGTGCGCTCATCCCCTTCGTCCGTTCCCGAATTTCGGGACCACCTAGTGAGTATTTTGTCCTCCGACCCCCCCCCCCCAAAAAAAAGGGCCCATAAAGGTATGACTTTGGTCACTCAGGGGTGATATAGCCATTGGAATCTATGACCCGAAGAGTCAACCGAGCTTTTCCTCAAGTGACGTCCATCCCCCTATTCAGCTCGAGCGTGAGGTCCTAAATACCAGTACTCGAGTCCCATACCAGAACAGATGAAGAGATGTAAAATTCAATCTCAAATGACATGTTCGGGTACCCGTTGCCTATCTCGGGCGGTAAGACAGTACTTGTGAAACATCTGGACACCGCGCCTTGAGTAAGACCTCCAAGATTCCCCTCTTCGGATCAAGGGGGGCAGACAGAGCGAAAAAAAAAAATTTCAGCTCCGCCGAGACAAATCCAAAATCTTGCCGGAAGAGGAAACTCCAACGTCTTAGCGAGAAGTCCTATTGTTCCGGTTGCTTTGGCAGGCAACCAGCTGATAACGCAGCCACTGAGCTTCAGCTTTGGTATTCCCTACGGCTCAGGGTACCAGAAATACGGCGTACGCTAAAGTACTGTAAAATCAAGTGAGCACTCTGAACTAGGAAAATTGTGCGCATGTAGCTTACATTGACCGGCGTCCCCTCTTGCCTGCAATCTCTCCTTAAGGGGATTTCAGCTCCTATAACAAGTATACACACATATATTCGCTTTAACGGCCGTGACTGCTAGCTAACCAATCGACAAATGAGTATTGTATCCGATAGTCATGATAGAATGCTTCGCCTGTATAAGGGGTAATCAATTATCCGCAGATCCACAAGGCGCCTTCGTTCGAGGTGGGGTTGATGGTGAAAGGATTCAAACTTTGGGCTGAACCAGCCCTATTAATCAGATTGACTCGCTAGAGTGCGTAGTGGAAGGATATCCAGTGGAGTTGCGGCTTAAAAGCAACGTTCTAGGGGCAAAGGGGGGAAGGAGTCAGCATTCGGTTATCAATCGTCCCAGCTTTGCTCATCAAGACATTTGGAGGGCATCGGAGAAACCACCATCAAAACTTCTCGCTTAGCATCCAAACCCGGCTCGGTCATGATCCTTGAACAGGGTACCGGTACTGTACCGGTACGGTAACGTAGGCGGGGGGTCAACGAACAGAGGGGCTCAACGAACAGACCAAACAAAACCACCGTTCGCCAAGACCTTTTTAGTGTACTGTTCGCTGAACCCCCCCTGTTCGTTGAGCCGCCGTCCATTTTATCGCTCGCTCTCTCCCACCCCTGCTCCTCCGCATTATCAAATCCGACTACCTGTACCGTATGATACCTTCCCCAGATCCAGCTACCGTACTGCAGCAGCCTACTCGAGCACAACAGCAATACGGTAGGGTACGATCTGCACGGTAGTTTCCTCGAGCCCCACCAGGCGCAGTGTCGCACAAGCCCAGGTCTGGTCCCCCGCCACGGGACTTTCCATCAGCCATTGCTACCTACAGTACTTGTATCCTCCCCACCGTGGTGGGCACGGAACCGATTTGTGAATTGCCGGTACTGCTCCAAGCTACCCCACAACTTGTCCCCCCCTCATCGTGGGGATGATCTAGACCCCACCACTGGTAGGGTCTTATCTAAAACAAGTGCGGAGCTACGATACGTGAAAAAATAGAGACCATATGATCCTCACCCCCTCTTGGCCATTAAATGGCTTTTCTACTCAGTCGTACCTGTACTTGTACGAGCAGCTATTCTAATCATTCTTAGTAGTACCCACCCTAGACTGCAGGTCACATTGGCTTCATTTACTCCCCACCATAGGCGATATCTCCAAACGGAACATCTAACCATGCCCAGAACCTTTTCTAACCGCCCAGGCACCACCAGTGCGTAGCAATATCGGTATCCTAACCCAAATACACAAAGGAAACACAGTTTCAAGAGAATCTAGGACTTAGCATACCGGCGGCTATTAACGGTGTTCAACAAAAGAGAAAACCAAACTATGTATTATCAGATCTTCCCAATACCGGTATCCTGATCATCACCCTTAGCGCCCTACCATGTGGTGCCATGGTTCGCACACTTCGGACGTCTCCTATAAGAGCAACATTAGCTTAGTCTCTGGCTATGACGGATAAACGGGGCCTTTTTGTCACGGATCACCAGACAGGGCAGACCCGTGTGTCAATAACCGCACCTCCTAGCGATTCCCGACAGCCCTAAAGTCAGAGCTTTTACGGTACTAATTATAACAATACTATTGTGCGACCACTCCTAGAAGTAAGCTCGTCGATCCATAGCAAGCTATTTTGGTGCCCGATGTGATTTCTCATGTGCCCCCCCCCCCCTCCCCCGATGGGGGTCCCGAGACTATCACATACCACGGGAACGGGGTCGCTGCCTAGCGAAGCTAATAGACAGTACGCCTAGTGCAGGTGTTCTATCGATAAGATACGTCCAAGAACATGCTTGTACGTTCGCGGTACACGGAGCGCGTGCCTACCGTTGCAGCCGCTTCATTGCGTACCGATAGATGACAGAATAGAGGCGCAGTCACGAGTGCGAGATACCGTCGTGAGGCTCAATACTTTATTCTTTTGCTAATCACTCGGTTTCGTGGTGGGGATGCGGTATTTCAATACTATCGTATTTTTTATCATGCTACCTGTAGCGCACTGTAAACCCCCGCGACATCCGTATTTAGGCAAATTTAACGCCGTGCAAACGGAATCAAAGCCAGGACTACAGATAACGGGCAACACGGCGGCATTGCAGTAGATTGCGCTTCCAGCAACAATTGCACTGCTCCATTTGCTCCCATGTTTCGTATTTAGAGTAGGAAGAGCAACTCCAGGACCAGTTGTAGTGATATTCCGTATGATATGACACCTCTATCACGACACAACCCTAGGCTCTGGTTTCCCTGGGGAGAACACTGGACTGCAATATCTTGTGAGACGATTCACGGTTGCCCTACCCTATGCTTCGACTGCTCACCAAACGATCACGTTTAGAGGTGATGAACAACCGCTGATTTTCTCCCCACCTCAGGCTCCTGAGTCAAACTGGAGATGGGGAGACAATCCGCACAAACACCTAGAGTGAATTCCCAAACACCCTCTATCGATCGCAGTCATCTTATCCGGATGATTGATATTGAGCACCGCTCTTCCACATTGTGGGCGGGAATAGCCAGGGCTGTAGCCTCTGAATGACCACTTCATGATAGCCTTGAGATGCCCGACGAGGAGGGAAATACCGATATCACATCGCAAACTCGGCCGAGAGTTGTTGACCTGTTAACTCGCACCAAACAAAGTCAACCGACGCTACACGCCTTTCGTGAATATGGGCATTAGAAGTAGGGAGGGAAGGTGTGAAAGAATGGCTATCAATGAACAGGAAGAAAATGTAAATTTCAATGAACATCGAGCCGTCCGAGGATTTCTAGACGGGCGTCCTGTCCGTGAGAGGCAGCAAGGCCCAGAGTTAGGCATCAGCAGTAGGATCCGAGATAGTCTACCCTGCTGCCAGAACCTTACCACGATAGCAATTAGATGGCCTTTAGCAGTATCGATGGGAGACTCTTCGTGAACTTTAATTGTGGAATAGCAACAGCAGAAAAGCATTCTCGCTTTCCCCCACCCCACTTATGTTAGCACTTGGGATAGCCGGCGCCCGGAATGGGGGGGGGGGTAGGAACTTCGCGCGCCCGAAGTCTTTTGCTGCTAGTTAAAGATGTATTATTGCATCCGTTGAGGCCTTGGGCCGTGCCGAGATGTTGTATGATTCTCAGTAGAATCTGATATACTCGCGCCGGCACAGAGGCGATCCGATGAACGCGAGCACTGAGTGAGAAGCCCTTATTTCACACGGAGATCAGCTCATGGTCCCGCAGTGAAGAATCCTCCTCCATTGACCTTTCATGAAGCATGCGTTGAGCGCCCTACGTTTTTACTTTTTTTTTCCCTTAGGGCGACGACCAAGTTAGATCAGGGCGCCTTGGTGTCGCACCCGGTGGGTCAACAGGGGACCCAGAATAACGTACAATTAACGTAACCTACTCCACCACCTTAGAGACAACTGCCGCATTCATAGATTCATACGGTTTCTATTTAACCCCGCCGGTCCTCGAGAATTGAAGGAGGAACCAGCACAGATTCCACCCACATCTCTCCACACTACTACCGTAAGGGATCTTTGGCATTCTTCTTTTGATGACCCTACCCTGCTTATCTCTCCCCTGAACCATATTGATATTTCCCGCTCTTCCCCAAAACTCCCCAAAACCCCAGAAAGTTCCAAGGTCTCTGATACCTCAAATCTGTCACAACGCTCTTTTGCGTCCGCCCGAAACACATTTGAAGACGATTCATTAAAAGCAGAACCACCTTTCCATCATACTAGTTTAGTCTTTTCTCGGCTCTTTTCTTTTTCTTTTTCTGTTTTGTATGTTTCGTGCTGTCCTTCGCTCCTTCGTTTGCTAACATCGATCTCCCCGTTTTTCTTGTCTTCCCTGAAGAATCATAGGGGCCTCACTAGTTGCACATCCACTCCCATCCAGACCACCCCTAGAGAACTCCCATCTAGACCACCCCTAGAGAACCCCCCCTCCCCCATATTGGAATCCTATCTTGGTCCCAGTCATTCCAAAAGCCTTCCCGGATTCTTGTGGGCCTCCCGTGTTTTGATCTATCTGTGAAGATTTCCTCCCAAAAAGCTCTCCAGGAAAATGCCAACAGGAAGAAGGTGCTCCCGGAAGGAACCCAAGGATTCTTATTCCGGGATCAGAAAACCCGTTCCCCGGAGGGAGACCCGGAGTTCCACGGCTGCGGCAGCGCGATCCCGGACCGCGGCGGCCAGGCCAACGGAAAGGAGAGCTCCGCATACCCCGCCGGAGACTCCGAGGGCTACTCCCCCCCCTCCCTATACCCAGCACCAACAGCAACAACAGCACTACCAAGTGCCACCCTCAAGCACCGCTTCCAACAATACCAGATGTTCGGATACCATCAATTCTTCATACACCACGTCCATCCCGCCGTCCTCAGGCCCGGCCATCAAAACGGAGGAGGGAGCGGAGGCGGAGGGGACCCGCGCCCAAAACAGTGCGCAAACCGAGGAACGGCAGCCAACAGTGAACTGGGACTGTGTGTCGTATGTAGTTTCAGACCAAAAGGTGCACACCTCCTACGAGAAGCCCGAGATGGCGCCCCCGGCCGTGGACACGCGCACGGGGAAGACCACGAACCGCGTGGCATCGTATGGAAAGATGGTCACGAAGACAGTGACAATGACCGTCACAACCACCATCGCCACCACCGAGATACTGCGCCCGGGCGAGCCGGGGTATCAGGAGTCCCTGGAGCGGCAGAAGCGCCAGCAGAACCAGACGCCCGCAGAGCGGGAGAGGCAACAGCGCGAGTATCACCAAAGTCGCCAATGGGCCAGCGGGGACAGAACGCTCCACGAGAATTTTCATTGCAAACATCACCAATCCGCCCGGCCCGCGCGAGCAAATGTGTAGATATAGCTCGAATTTTCGCGTTTTCTTCTACGTGCTCTGAGTCTTGTTCTATTTCTTCTTGTTTTGGGTCGTCTTCTTCTACGTTCTCTCATTCTTCATCATACTCCCGGTTTTTTGGGTTCAGAGGCGACTTGGGCTCTAGCAAGAGCGATATCAGGCGGAGGAGGAGGAGGGGGAGGAGGAAGGTTCTCCGGAGGGTATCCGAATTTGTGGATTGCGTTCTTCCACGGCTCACCTGGAACCCACCATTGGATTTGCAGGATTACTCCGGTCTACCGTTGGGTCTTAGTAGGGTGGCTACACTCTATAATCCACATTCAAGGCTCTTGGAGAGGCCCATAGGGAGGACCACTACCAGCGCCCTTGCCCGGAGTAGTAGGCTTCTGTTTCCCCAGGACGAGGAGGAGGCTGCTTTGCCAGTAGCACTACCGGCACCACCACCGGGACCCTTGGATGGCTATCTCTTTCCTTACACCATTAATATTTCCCTTATTCCTGTTTCTGCGCTCGTTCAATTTTTCCTTTCTTTTGTTTTTCACTTGGAGGGAGGAGTGAAAGGAGTTTTGTTTGGAGGTGGGCTTAATGGGGCGGAGGAGGAGAGGATGAGGCTGATTACTCAATCAAAATTTGTTTTTCTTTTTAATACTGAAACTACCAATCGCTCTGATCATATTGCTGTTACACCCAGAAAGCAAATTAACAACAAAAGGGATGAGGATCAGGAGAGCGGGAGGGAAGGAGAAACTTCTGCCCGCTCAGTTATACAGTCTGTTACATCTCGTACACATTTAGGGCTGGCGAGCCCCCCCCCCCCGTACACAGACAGAAGCTGCATGCGTCCACCCATGGGCAAACGGGACGCCTAGAAAAAAACATAGAAAGAAAGGAAAAGCAAGAAAGGGAAAAAGAAAAAAAAGGAAAAAAAAATAATAATAATCAGAGGCATAATATAGATTAAGAGGAGAGAAAAAGAAAGAAAGAAAAAATATTCCCAAAAACCCTCCGCAAGCAGAAGCGCATTACTCAAGTATTCTCGAACCTGTCTGTGCCGCGATTCCTGAAATAAGTGGATGCTGCCTGCTCATGCTACATAACCTCCCCCGAAGTGCGCCCTTGTGCGACCCCGCAAAGTTAATGCTCCATTTACCCGCCTCATTTCGCTCAGTAACTGCGAGGGGACATCTCACCCTATTACTGTACCATCTCGGGATTCGCCAGGCACAATGGGATAAGCAGCTGCAATGGAATAGTCCCCGCAGGCAAAAAGCGCCCAAAAACGGTGGGGGGGGGGGGGATACGGAGGGTATGTTCTCGTATGGGCGCCCAGGTATTTGCACGCACAGATTATCGTCATACAGGTACTTGATATTCTTAAACCCCCGCCAGGCGTACAAGCACCGTACGGTACTCTCACAATACTCCTCCCCTGGACAAAAGGATCCCGCCCATTCCAGGACAAGAACCAAACGCAGGGGGAGGGGGGGAAGAGGGGGGGGGAATGAGGGGGGAAAAAAAAAGGCGGAAAAAAGGAAAAAGACGCGCCCCCTCTCGTTTTCGCTTGCACAACTTTAGTCGAGTATGCGATAATACGGTACGTATGATACCTAGCTCCCCGCAATTCGCCAAACCCCTAACCCCTGAAGCGCGAGACCGGGACCCCGACTAATTCCACACGTTCCCCGACCGATCGGGCCGAGGGAGCCCGCGCACCGTCTGATACTGTACTAGTACGAGTATGATACAAGTACGTCTACACCCAGGAACGCGAGAAATCCCGTCGGGAATCTCGTGGTGCCGAAGGAACCGGGGACATCCGATGTCTCGCCAACCTTTTCCACGCCCTGTTCGGCCCCCGCATTAACTTTACCCTCCTCACCATGTCACCATGCTAGCCTACGGAATAGGATGCAATGATTACGTAATAGATTTATGATATCGTGATGAGAATTACGAATACCCCCCCCGATGGATACCACTCGAGCAGCAAAAGCGGCATGTAGCGATCAGACACCCCCTCGCTTCGGATTCGGCGAGCCTTCCCCTCGCAACCTGCTGCTCTATGAGGACGTGAGGGGTTTTCCCCTATACCCGTATACGCCGGTGATATTCGCACGTCTCGCCTCAAAAGTTGGGATAGGGCGCGTTTCACAGAGCACCGTTGAGACTGTGGTCTGTTTCGTAACTTTGGGAAAGGAAGAAATAATAAATCTCCAGATGGTTGCTTAATTAGGGGAACTCCGGCCCCGGGTTGAAAAGCGTTTGATGCAGGTTCCTCGAGTTCGAGGGCTTCGGTGTGTGTAACGGGCGAGACTGATGGCAACGGATCAAAGAAAATTCCCGTTTGCCAAGACATGTGCGGTGAATTGTTCGTTGAGCCTCCCGCGATATTTTGTTTGCATAAGTACTCGTATGGCGGTGAAAAAAATACATACTTGTTAAATAATTAGCCAATAGACTTCCTGGTCAGGTATAGTCGACTACTGTATCAGGACTAGCGTTTTCGGTTTTATGTGAGGCTCGGGATAGGTCTTGGGGCGCCTGCGCCTATGCTACTCTGGCAAACCTCTCTGTACTACGGGTGGAAACTTAACACTGGCTGGATGATAGGTATATAGTGACTGCTACCGTAAGTACCGAATTTGGGCGGTTTTCTTTGTTTTTTTAGCTTAGTCAGTAGAGTGCTGGTAGCCTAGCGGATTCTAGTAAATGCGTCACCATCTGTGAAAAAGGGCGTTGTGGTAGCACATTATTGCACGCTCGGAAAAGCTGTCGTTAAAATCATTAACCTATCGTCATCAGAGTGAAATGTATGACAGATCGTGAGTGAATGCAGTGACTGGGTGCAAATACGAGTCTTTCTACTGGCACTGAGCAGTCATTCTTCGAGCGCACCGCAAAGACTCGAACGAACGCGATAGGGGATGAGTAGGCCAATATATTGCGATAAGACGTTGTGGTCTCTGCTGCTGTAGTTATGAGGGCCCTGAGTATCCTACGTTCCCTGTCTTGACTCAACTGAGGGTTGAGTCGGCGATTGTTGCCTAATACCGCGCCGCTGCCGAGAAGGGCAATTCCAACGTCCTGGCACATCTTGTCTCCGTCGGAGCTCCTGGAGCCATGACTTCGGCGCAAACGGAAATGTGGCGAATGTCTATCGAATGATTTGGATGTGGGAACCGGATTCACCCTCACGAGCTGACTAGCCAGTCGGGCACAGTGCTTGTGGATCACATGCGAACTTGCTTCGAATACATTTCGTCGCCCCCGCCACTCGGGTGTGCTTGCCCGCCTCTGATACTATATCACCGCGCGGCGGACTTGAGGCTGGACGACTGGAGTGGCAATACCTATGCTCGCCCAATACCCCGGTAATGTAATGATAGTTGACAAAACTTTTTCTCTGTACGAGTACTCGTAAAGGAAGGAGGAAAAAAAATCTTGTTTTTTTTTTGAATAACGCCACAATTTTTGCTTTTTTCGACCGAATTTTGAGGCAAGTCATGTGAAATTCGGATTAGGAAATTTCTGACATCTCGCTCTTCAAATGCTCCATATGCGAGGAAAAGATAGGGGAAAGGAAGGCAATCCAGGAGCGAGTGGGAAGGTTGAAATTGTACGGCAATTTGCAAGAAACGTTCGATGGACAGATTACATTATCGGGAGGGTGCAGGGGACGTGTCGTGTATGGCCAAGCGGAAAGACGATCATCTACCGTAAGTTAAACATCCATCCCAAAGCCTCAAATTCAAATGGGTCCCTGGCCGGTTGGCTGTGCGATGTGGAAACTTGGCTTCAACCTAGGGGGGATCGCATATGCGCATCGCAGATCCCGTGGAAGCTCTGCGGACGTCCTTTGGCTTAAAGTATTGGGGCGGGGGGACGGGAACGGATGGCTCTGGTCCGCCCTTCTCCCCAAGGCATATCATAATTATTCCCTCCTCAACATTATAACGGGTAGAGGCGGCCGCATGCAGCGCTGTTCATACTGCACCCTGCCATAAGGTAGAAACGGGAGCAAACGTCAGTCGATGGAAATCCACGTTATTGGGCCCGTGTGTACGCGTTGTTTCCGGTAAGGTACCACGAGCCGGACTACTGTCGAGTCCCTTCGCCTTTAGCCCTGCACGGATACTAAAATCAAAACAAAATTCCCCGCCCCAAATTAATACCGGTAAACCGATTGGCTGGCTGCTGTTCTCGGGCGTTCTGCCATTTGTTTCAATTTGGATACGAAGGAACGGGGCTGGATTACAGATTGGGTCTTACCGGTTCTCCCGTCGGCGTTTGCGATCTGCTGACGGAGAAACATACCGATGCGGTCAATTAATCGTGGATTCATACAGCTATACGAGTAACGTAGGGAGAAACATAGGCTCTCATGTGCAATTTGTAAACCCTCGCCTTGGTCCAATCGGCCGAGTTGTGAGTAGTGCTCCTTTGATCCCAATAAGATGGGTGCCTCTGACTCCGAATCATGCAGCAAAGGGAGAGGGGAAAGATGCACTGCTAGCAGTACCTGGTGCAAGTGCTGACCCAGTCCGCCAGGTTCTTTGGGAAGTACGCCCTGGGCTGGGATAAAAAGGACGGAAAACATTTGCAATCGTATCATGCTGTAATGCGATCTCAGGCGTTTTTGCGGTGGGTCAACCCCCACTAATGGCGCACCCAACTTCCCTATTTCCCTATCTGGACATTATACTATCCTTTAGTCAGGGAGTTTGCTCAAAGTTGCATTACTAAAAGAGAGTGGTGGACACTTGGGGTGATCCTTTAGGTCCAGCACAAGCACATGACAGGAGTAATGAGTATGACTCACAGAAAAACTGCAAAGTCTGACCAATTATCCCAGTCCGGTCCCTGAGACCCCTGCATACCTCTTTTGCTTGTTTATAGGGCGTTTCCGAGCACAGGTTGTCGTATAAAATTCGCAAACTTGTGGTTGAGATACATTATTGGTACGGGACTCGACTATTGTCCGGTACCGTAGTGCAATAATAATGAAACTTACTGAATAATCACAACCCACGTGCCTGTCTAAGAAGAGACCTTTCGCGGGATGCCAAATCTATGCAACGTCGCCCCCACCCATTGACCTCACACGGTATATTCTATCATACCCAGCCACGCGAAGAGTCACAATTAGTGCTATACCGGCAGTCGTAATATAAATTATGGGACAACTCTCCAGGACATACAGGTAGTATACGGTGTCCCCCTCGAGCACAGCACGATATACCGTGGGTACAGGCTCACAAGCACCGGTAGAATATATCCTGGCAGTATACAATTTCACATTTCACATGCGGATACCGGTATATTTCGCACTCCCCTATCACCGGTATTTCCCGCCGGGCTTCCAATTGCCAACCCCAACCACCCTCCCCAGCCATTCGTTGATAAAATCGAGGAATCAACCCACACCGCCCCCCCACGGCCGTAAAGCACTCGCATTTCCTAGCCCCCGCGCCTTGGGGTGCCCTGCCTGTGGCTCTCAGAGTCGCAGACGAAAGCCGTTACCACAGTTTTACAGTTGGCAAAAAGACAACCAAACTAGCGTATTGGCCCTTGCTCCACTAGAGAATTATTCCCCGGCAACCTATCCCGGCAATTTCGACTCGCAGATATCACAAAAAAAAGGACACGCGAAAGGTGCGCGAGCAGTTTAGCTCTCACATGCACAGGGATCTCCGTTTACAGGACGTATGTATGAGTCAAGAATGGAATAGAGAATACAATTGATAGGATACCGATGCTGGAAAATACTGTAATTAGTTGCCTGATGTCTAGGGCCTGGCTAAAAGACTTGGACTGTCAGGAACCTTGTACGGTCTGTGTGTCTTTTTTTCTTTTTTTGTCTAGTCGCTTTCCGAACCTAGCGTCACTCTAGATGTGCTATTTCTTGAGTTTTTAAGCTATGATAACCTTGTGCGAGTACAAGTAGAGTCTACAGTAGCCCAGGATTGGGCCAGGGCACATTTTAAAACTTAAGCCCTGTATCCCGACTCGGGCTGCCATAATTGTGTGGTGCCGGTACTCGAGTACCACCATACTGATACGAGTTCTGAAGATGATGCGCTGACGGTACAAGCACTTATCGGTTAGCTTACTCCGATCCCTTCGTCTGTGCCGAATTTCACCCACATTTAAGTGGTGTAATGGGCAGGATTATGACCCCGATTAGTTCAAACATCCCCCATCAAGGGGATAGGCTTACTCATAGAACGCTGACCTAGCCAGTCAACAAGCTTGACCTTCTCTTAGTTGATGATGATAAGCCACCGTTGATACCTTTTTTGGAGATTAGGAGGTGGATAAAAACCATTGCCTGGTTGCCCCCCCCCCACCTACCGTACAACCCTATCGGAGATGAGTTATACAGTATCCACTATACCCCCCTCTAAAATCACCCACTTGGTATCATACTCCGGTCACCAGGAAATTGGTAGGAATTACAACCTTTCCACCAGGGCTCTGAGGATTCTCGCACCTTAGGCCCCCCTTTGGTCCCTCGCGAGATGCCCCACCAGAATTACCGTGTGAGTGATAGCCTATGAGAGAAATAAGGTGACGGATTCCCCTTTCCGGGATTATAAGGCCCGACAGCATGGAATGCCTAATACGAGGATCCGAGGACATGGGGGCTCTTGCTTGTAAGGCTTTGTCAGTCAGCGAACGCAATCGAGCCTTGAGTGAGTTCCTCAACGGGGCGGATCCGTTAGTGCGGATGGGTGAGAGGGCGGATAACTCGTGTGCTGAAAACTGCAATGCCGGTGTGTATGCTGCCGATGCATACTAACTGTCTGGGGTGGTGGTGGTATCACTTATTCATGCAATGCGCACGGAAGCGTTAGAGCTGGGATGCGGACTAGGCAAGTTTCCGACCACTATACAGGAAAATACAGGTATATACGATCGCAGGGCTGCAACCTCCCTTCCGATCTCACCAATGTGATCTGCCTCCACGCTGCCGAGTTCCCCCCCCTGGGGCTTGGGCCAGGCTTACTCACTAGCCCATGAAATCGTAGATTTGTGTGTTTATAGATAACGATCTATTATCTGCTGGTAACATAGGACGTATACTTTCGGAGTTCAAGTGGGGTGCACCCCAGCCTGCTTATTTTCCTGTGGAGACGGAGCGGGGGCCAGCTGATTCGCGGGATCAAAGGGGATAGGTTGTGCCCCCCCAGGGATACAGATGGGGGGGGGGACAAGTTTGCTAAAATAGTCTGTGATAACATACGGTACAAGTAGAATCAAAATAGCACAACCCCCCAACAAGCTGAAATATCCTAAACCCCGGCTCCCGTATACCAAATCCGCGACTCACCGATCAGACGTATCACCAATTGAACCCCTCCCCCCCCCGATACCTACCCGCCCCATCCCATCCACCTTCGCACAGCACGCTGAGCGCGGCTTTTTCTCCCACCCCTTGGGGGTACAAGTACAGTACTACCGGCACACAATCTCCGGAACTCCCAGGGGCTCATTCCATCTTCACTCTAGGGGTGCTGGGGGGGGGGCACGGCCCCACTCTAAAGAAAGAAAGAAAGAATTCGCACACCTAGGGGTATATAAGTAATATCTCGGTCAGTCACCGGGTGAGCTGGCACGACTTTCGCACCTTGGTGCTACTACTGATATGGTTCGGGGTTAGGTTTTAATTGTTCCTGGTGGACTCGTGGTACACGTACTGTATGGCGCTGTAGTTGGGGGTGAGCTTGCGTGAGAAGCTTAAATTTCTGGCCGCGGGGGGGCTGTGCGCACTTTCAGTCTACAGTACTGTACCGTATTGGAGCTATCGGTATATCGGTATTGTGCTAGCGCACTGGTTGGATGGTGGTATACGTATATGTACGGTACTTGTGCGGCCGATCCCAAGTGCGGTGTATCGGCATTGGACAGATATGTGAATGGAGGTCGAGGTGCTGAATTGTTGAGTGCTGTTAACTTGGTATGATTTTTGTGCGAGATGGAGTCGCTATACGGGCGCTGATGTTGAGCGTACCGGTAACCCCCCCTCCCTCCATCGCTCCTACCCTCCGTATCCGTAGAACAGAGTAAATTACAATCCTATAACCTATACCACTACGCCGTTCCAGTGCCTGCAGAGGTTTTTTGATAGGCACTGACTGTATTCTCGGGTCACGCCAGGTCACTCACGTAGGATCCGATACCGAACAACACGCTACGGAGGATCACACCCCTAACAGAGCGAGGGGATGAGGTGTTGGACTCTCCCAAGCTAATATAAGTCAGCCCACCGGTTATCGACACCTCTCACAAACTTCTCAACAAGCCCAAACACACTCAGAGTGCTATGGCCCCCGGCTGACCCCCAGTGCTCTTGCTGCAACCTTAGAGAGTTTACCCGTACTGGTATTCTACTAGTACTGCACCAGAGAGCATAAATACTTTGACGATTCGAAAGAAACCCTCGGCTTACCACCCGGCCGGGGGAGGAGGGATGAGTTGTTGTGGGGGGGCTCCGGTAATTAAAATTCAGGACCATCGTATGCGGTATACAATCCGTTTCATATAATCAGGAGGGCTCAGTTTTGTATCATCGTGCGAGCTACCGTATCAGAGCCCTCGTATCAGGCTAGGGAGCCGACTTCTAGGGCCTTTCTAGTCAAGTACCGTATCATACCTTAACTTTTTACAACACCGGGTCAAACCACCGCATTGCTAACACAGTATACCAAGTTATCTCGATCTGTTCAAGATCAAGATCCCGTATCGCACTCGTACAACGGAGCTCCACGTCAACCCCTCGATAAAAATAACGCCGGCGGAAAGCCCAGCAAATAATAAAACGTCAGCCAGCCAGGATAATCATCCACTGGGATTTGGGGAAGGGAGAGAGAAGCCCTGGACTCAGCCTACCAGTACTCGTAAGGAGGGCGCGGCCGTTGAGAAAATGGAAGGTTACGCAGTACCGGTGATGGGGTGCATTGTGGGGCTGACCGGGGTTTCTGAAATCTGGGGAAAGGGGTCGCTGGGGCCGGGGTCTGGAATGGTTCAATATGATTTATTATCCTTGCTCACCGACCCGGTTTCAACTGGAATGAAGCTTGAGCGCTGAGAAGGGGTGGCGGAGCCCTCCTTCAACGGGTGCCTGGCGGCCCCTACGAGTGGGATGATCCGGGGTTGGGGGTGCTCGTGCGGGCGCTGTAACGGTCGTTCAAGCGTGGCAATTGATTAGGGGTGTGATGGACTACCGTAGATGTTTTCCGTCATTGGGGGCTCTACGGAGTAAGACCTCTACCGACCGGTACTCGGTCGGGGAATGGGGCCCAAGCTGTTATCAGTAGTCTACTGGTTGTTATTGGGATTCTGCTCATACTCGCGCAGTTGGGCAGCCTTCGGGTCGCTTGACATTTTTTGACCTTCCTTGCTCGGGTTAGGAACCGCTTTGCTGTTTTCTTCGTAGCGAACAGACAAAGCATTTGACTTGATAAAGTTAAAGGAAGTTGCTCCTGAGGTCCACCCTCGCACCCTCAAGGCGTAAGGCCTTCTAGATACCTACGGTTTTCAATCTGCCCGGACTGATCTCGGATCAGGAATAGTGAAGTGCTAAACGCCCCTATGATATATGCGAAATAACTGCGGGGATAACTTCTTAACTCTTCTGCTTAACTTATGTACTATTAACAAGCTGCCCACACTCAAGCCACGTAATAACTATCTGCTTACGTAATCAAATCCGATAGACCGATACTTGGGTTGGGGACACGAATACTAGTACCATAGGGACCAGGTCAGGCCACACCAAGTTCCCCCCAGCCATGTTACTCGAGTACCTTTGGAGGATCTTACGGTAAGTTCACCCGAATTTATTGACTGCACTGGAGAGCTGCGAAATCTGCGCACAGATTAAGGGATACTTGTAAAGGGCCACGAGTATTACTGTAGTGCCGGTACTCGAATGTAATGCTCCACCAGTACCCTACCAGTAGAGTGTAAAAGTAGCGGTCGGATGTTTGCGCTAACGGCTGCCAAGCCGAAGGGAGAGCGAGCTACCCCCAAAACGTCACATTTTACCCTACTTGTAGACTACCCGTAAGCAAACAGCGAAAGGCGGTTGGGCGGGCGCCCTAGGGCGGACCCGACCTGGGCGAGAGGAATCAGGTACGGCACTTGCCGATTCATAAAGCATCTATGCCTTGGCGCCAAGATGGACACAAGTCAATGCCAGGGTGTCAGGTTACCGGTACCTTATGAACTGGCGAGCAGAACATTCCTGCTCTGACCCAGGAGAGGGTTCCTTTGGCGATGGACTGATGGTTATGCGGCTTTGGGGGGGCTGTTACGTGGAGTCACTGGTACTGTACTCGAGTATTCTACTGGTCTGCTAGTGCCTTGGCTGGCCTGTTAAAGATCTACTCGTACAGTAGTCCCTGCCAATCATGGATGATCAGTGACACGTGCATTGCACGTTGCATTTGTATCGTACCGCACTCTTCAAGCTGCGTGAAACATGATAGGGTGCAATGGCCTGGGACTCCGATGAGCTTTGAGACGGTATTTTGCTTCATAAGGCCAACTGTTATCGGGAATAATGGCCGGTGTGCCAACCGAGGCCCGGACTCTGTTAAACTGGGTATTGTAATTCGTAACCGTACTTTGGGTGTAAGGGGCGACACTACTATTGCTCTATCGCACGCTGTTGCGGAACTTTGTTGTAAGGGGATTTTTGAGCAAGTCCCTGTCTCGCTCCTGTGCATTTCACGTCCCTTAGCTCTCGTTATGATTTGCGAGTGACATTGAGTGACTAATAGGGGGAAACTAGGGCGGCCCCCACTCTTGAAAATATGAACTTTGTCTGAATTCTGCTTAACTGCACTCAAGTCCCATTCCCCAGAAATTCTTCTCCATCTAGGCCCCGCCTTGTTAGCCCCTCCTCGGTGATGTGGGGAAGAGCTTACCTTGGTAGCCTTTGCGAAGATCGCTACCAGCTCACCAATTCTCTTCGCTCCGACGTCCTGCGCAAGGCCCTCCAACAACTCGCGACCCCTAATCACCGCCTCGCCATAATCTTTTCCGGAATAGCTCTCTACCCACTCCCAGTATATATTGCCATCTTTCTTGCCTTCTTTTGCCAACCTGAGGGCAACCTCCCGGTATCCAAGCAGACAAGGCGCCATCACAACTTGGAGTGCGAAGAAGTCCTGACTCATTCCAATATCTAACACAAACCGGGTGTACGCTGTACATGCCAGTGATTCCTCGGCCTCTTCGACTTGGGATTGGGTTAAGCCAAAGCGGGAGCAGTAGTTGAGGTGGAGGGTAGCCTCGGCCACAATGTATTGTACAATGGATGCAGTTTTCGAAATTCCCGCGATTGACGCCGATTTATAGCCTGCGAGGGAGTTTGCCCGAGAAAATTGGATCTACCCAAGGTCAGCAGGACAGAAATCTCTGCTGTGGGTGGAGAAGTAACCAGAAAGAGGTAGTCTTGGACAAGGTAATGTTGAAATGACTCTTTCCGAAGAGTGCCAGCTCCCAATTGGGTTGTGAACGGATGGTGGGTATATTCGTGCCATATTGGCTTTATTGAGGGATGGCTTAGAAGGTAGTCGACGAAGCGTCCACTACGGGCCATTAGTGAATGATTAAAAGGTGGGGGGGGGGGGGGCGATCAAACGGAGGGAATGGCATGATATAGTTGCTGTGCAAATGGTTGATAGGCCCATGCCCTCTTCCAAGCGTCAATGCCGATGATATCCCGGCAGAGACGTAGCTGCAACCTGCTCGGACTGCTTCGGGAGCCTCCATTCCACGAGCGAGGTTTGATGCAATTGCCGCTGCAGTTTTGTTTAATAATTAAGTTACAGGATATGTGGATAATGGGGGATATACAGGCTAGGGAACACCCGGTGCCGTGGGTGTTTCTTGTGTTCACATAGGGGCTCTCAATCAATGCAAAATCGCTCCCGTCCCAAAAGACATCAATCATAATCTCTCTTTCTTCTTCCTTTTCGGCGGGCACATAACCTCCTTCTGTCCTACGGAACGGCAAATGCCCACCCTTGAGCAAGACGTTTTTGGGTCCCATCCCCGCCAGATCTTTTGCAGCAGAGATGAGTTTATCAAGCGAGTTCAACGGCTGATGGCCAGGCAGTAATTGCATAGCTTCCGGAATGTTGGGAATAAGGAGTAAAGCTAATGGGAAAAGCTTTTCCCGTACCGCATTCACAGCACTCTCAGGCAAAAGTGTGGATCCGCCCGTAGATACCATTACCGGGTCAATGACAGTTTTCGTGATGCCATATTTTTGTAGAATCTCAGCTACCACCAGAATATTCTCCTCACTGCCCAGCATACCTGTATTGAATATGTGAACGTTTAATCTTGTTAATTCCGGAGAGATAGGGGCGGTAACCAGTTTTAACCACATCTGTCCCAATATCGGAAAGCACCGCCTCCAAGCAGCTGCGAAGAAACGGTCCCGGGATATGATGAATATTGTCCACCCCAAGAGTATTTTGTGCGGTGAGAGCAGTGATAGCTGTCATGCCATAGCAACCGTTGGCTGTGATTACCTTGAGATCTGCCTCAATCCCGGCTCCGCCGGAGGGATCGGAGCCGGAAACTGTTAGAACTCTAGGGATGGTTCTCTCGGTGTCGGGCATGCTGGAAGGGTACTGTACCAAACCCGTATCGCTTGAGTCAATGGGGCTCGAATAGAATTCAAGGAGGAAGAGGAAAAGGGGTTCTAGATAATTCGTGAAATAGGGGGATCGAGTGGCATACCGGAAAAAAATTGGATGGGCGATGAGGGCAGTAGATGGGGGATGGTTTGACGATGATGGAGCTGACGGTATGATACTGGTACAGTACTTTGCTAATCGGGGTCTTGGGACAGACAGGGGGGAATGAATGTTGAGGGATTTCGAATACAGTAAGCCTTTTTTATCTGTCGAGTGGGGGATTCTGTGTCTTGCCGAACAACCTGATTCTTCTTTCCCTACGTGGTGACGTCATTTCCCCTCCTCGCGAGCGTACCCAAAATTCATCTCGAACTCATCCCATCTCATCCAAACGTCCCTCCCCTTTTTTGGCTGCACATAATTTCGAGATGCCACCGCCCCGGCCGAACCTCGAATTATATCTGGTGACAGATTCCGTGAACCTACCCCCCAATTCGACTGTCTATTCTCAGGTGGAAGCATGTCTATCTGCCAGGCACCCCCCGACTATTGTTCAGATACGCGAGAAACACCTCTCCACCGCCAAATTTATTGAGCTTGCCCGTGATATTTACGCCCTCACTTCTAAACATGGGGTGCCTCTGCTTATCAACGATCGTGTAGATGTTGCATTGGCTGTTGGGTGTGAAGGAGTTCATTTGGGGTGGGATGATATGGGTACCAATTCTCTTTCTTTACCCCTAGGCTCCACTTGCCCTGCAGCACGCCGACAATGAGCAGATGTTCCTACTGCTCGAAAGCTATTAGGCCCAGAAAAGATCATCGGTCTCTCGGTATCCGACCATGAGCAACTTGAGAAAGCTTTGGGGGTGGATCCGACATATCTTGGGATTGGGCCGGTTTTCTCCACCCCTACCAAACCTGACCACAACCCCCCGCTAGGTACACCGGGTGTCCGCTCATTACTATCCGCTATACCTGCTACGATGCAGGCTATAGCAATTGGTGGGATAAACCATGGCAACGTTCAGCGCGTTTTATTCCAATCCAAAGACATTTCCGGGAGACGGCTGGATGGGGTGGCTGTAGTTTCTGCTATTATGGCTTCACCACTGCCTGTGGGGGCTTGCAATTTACTCCATGAAACTATAAATTGGCCTCCCCTATTTGTGCCTACGGATTATTCCATCCAAACAGAAGATTTCCCCATTTATAGGGATAACATCCACAAACACAAGCCGTTGGTTCATCACATTACAAACAATGTCGTGAAATCCATGTCAGCGAATATATCTCTGGCCATCGGTGCCTCTCCCATCATGTCGGAGAATCCCGCCGAGTTTGCCGATCTCGCTGCCTTGCCAAATGTGGGTTGTGTGCTCAACATGGGCACTTTTACCGGTGGTAGAGAGTTCCAAGACCTCTTCCTTGGGGCACTGAGGGAGCACAATGTTCGCGGGAATCCCGTAATATTCGATCCGGTGGGTGCAGGCGCCACCAGTGCCCGCAGGGAGTTTGCCCAAATGATCGTGGGCGGGGGCTACTGTACCGTCATTAAAGGAAACGAGGGCGAGATCAAGTCCTTAGCTGGGCTGGAGACGGTGAAAATGAGAGGTGTCGATGGAGCTGGTGGGGAAGGAAGTGAAGAAGAACTTGCTAAAGTTGTTCACGATTTGGCAACTTTGGAAAGTACGGCTTTGGTGTTCAATGGTATTGAGGTGTGCTAACTCATGGTTGTAGATAATATTGTCCTCATGACCGGGCCGAAGGACTATATATCCAATGGTGCTCACACTTTCTGTCTTACTAATGGATCAAAGTACCAGTCTCGCGTTACAGGCGTATGTTTTTATTTACTCCCGCTATTTTGATCTATGCATCTAATTTTCATGGATAGGTTGGATGCGCCCTCGGATCGGTTATTGCAGCTTTTTGTGCCGCAGCTCCAGTTGATGAAAGTCTGATTGGGCCAGTTATTAGTGCAATTGGAATGTATAACGTTGCTGCTGAAAGAGCCGAAATGCTCTTGGAGGGTAGCGATCAGCCAGGAAAGTGGGCAACGGTGTTTGTGGACTGCCTGGCGGCGATTGCGATGTCTAGCGAGAACCTGACAGAGCTGATCGCTGCGCATGAAGTGAGGGAGTTAACCAACGTAGGGAAATGGGGGAGGCCCGCAGGAGGGGAAGGTTTGAAGCAGGGTGAAGATTTGGCTGAAGCCTAAGGACACGGGTGACAAGTTGTGTTTGTGGAGCGATCAAAATAACTGACATGAGCCTAGAATATCATGACCCGGTGCAACTGGAGGGAGCAAGAGGTCGATTTCTTCAAGCCCTTTAAAATGTGAAACTTGTGATTTTGCTACCTCTTCAAGTAACTTTGGTGACCTTGAGCGTCAGCTAGACTTAGGTTTTTGATATCACCTAATCATATGATACACACTCTGCCGGTGTTTGGAGGGAAAGGTACCACTCATTGATGCTAAGGCTGTTAAATATACTTAAGTATGTTGACCTGTGCTAGCATGAAGACCTCTATAGGAAGTACCGGCAGGGGCGGATGGGGTGGGTTGTTTATAGATAGGGAAAAGGAAACAAGAAACTATAAAAGTTTCACTGTCCTGAGCAGTGCAAAAATTTCTAAACAAGGAAGGGTTTCGATATAGTTTCGGCAATTATTTACTTTTGTGGAAAGTTCTGAAGAGGAAGTACAATTAAAAGCGGAATACTGATACCTCGGAGTGGTTTTTTTCTCTTTTCCCTTGTTATGAGGGTTGTCTAGGGACATGGTAATGTTATGTAAAACACGGCAATAGTCCATAGCCTCACACCATATAGAATTTTCAGTTTCTAACCCGGCTCCATGCTTTAAGATGGGTTGGTTTTGGTGTATGAACTGTGATAATTTTTGTGTTTGCTGAAAGTGGGCAGCCTCATGATAAGTCACTCGACAAACGCACTGTTTGATAGTAAACAGCTGCATGATACCTCACAAAAATACAATTCTCTGCCAGTGCTCACACACATAGGACCAAAAACCACCAAATATGAACCGTAATAGTTGACTACTCCTTACTCTCCATAGTGTTACACTTAAGTGGAAACTAGGAAATCTTGTACTTTCCAATTCAGAATTGAAAGCATGGTTCCCACTAAATCTTCCAACCACTTGCCGCCAAAAAGTCAACAGTACGTGGCTCCTCTGCGCTTTTTCAATCCTGTCCAAACGGGAAACTCTCAGGGTTCTATCCAGGGCATCGGCCGTTCGACAGTATCACGCCGTTCTCAGATATTCCCTTCTTCGATTTCAAAGGCTCTCTCCCGCTTAGGACGTAAACACAGTACTTCGCACCACTCTCAACTTGTGCAATCACGGCTTCCACCTGCGCAACGTGCCCCTTCACCGTTCCTATCAGAAAATTCGGCACCCGCAACTCTACAGCAAAATTGTAAGGGGACTTCTGTGGTTCCTTGCCTTCCCGAATTACACTTCACTTTAGATCCACTAATGGAGGAGGCTCCCAGTCCGCCTGGGTCAATGGGGAGAGCTAGTTTGGTCGATATCAAACGCAAGAGCAATATACCTCCTGACCCATCTGAGTGGCTTTGGGACCACGGGTCGAAAATGTCTTCACGGCGCACACTCCGCCGTGAGGAAACTTTGAATACTGGAGACAAGCATCTCGCAACTCGTGATTCGTATCACAGTATGTCGAGCGTTGTGTCTGCATTTGTTACCGTGGACGAAGAAGTTCAAAATTACCGGACTAGGAATGATCTGAGCATCCGGTATTATTCACATGGGGACATACCGAAGGTTCAAATCTACGATGTCAATGGCCAATTGGAGACCAGCGCGAGGAACTCTTTACACCGGGGTCATTCTCCTGAGGTTACTCTCCTCAATTTTCCGGATAGTGTTTGGAAGAATCTCGCTACCCTTGTAAGTTACAGGTAGCCCCCCATCGGCTCACCAGATTCCAGAGAAGCTGACACAATATAGATGGAGCCGTGGGATTTGTCGCGTCTATCCCGTTGCTCAAAAGGGCTCCAGAGAGCAATTGATCCGCATCTCTACGCAGAAATAAGTCTTTGCACTAACCAACCCCACGGGTTCTCCTACGCCTACCTTTCTGGTTTGTTGGATTCCCTGACTGAACCGGGAAATCACGTCAAGCTTCGGCGATATGTGAGATCCTTTAAGGTTGCCGCTGGCTGGGAGGAAAACTCTATCAAGCTCTACGACGGTGTGGAGCCCCTTACTACTGACGATGTTCGTGACGCCGACGGTGAACAGATGCTCGATCCGGAAACTGTTATCCAGCTGATAAAGGAGGAAGGCGTCGAAGAGGATGGTGGGGTTAAGGAAGTGAACTATCTGTTGGCTACTTTCTTGAGCTATGCTGTTGGTTTGGAAACATTTATTCTCGATACAGCTATTCCATTGCGAAGTGGACTTATAGCTACCATTGCTACAGTGGATACCATAAGGAGAGTAGAAATAAACATTGCCCAACCCACTCGGACACAGAGGAATGCTGATGACTGGAGGATTTTGGAAAAATCTCTGGTTGGAAAGTACAGACCAAATATTTCTCGATTTTCTGAGCTCTCTCTATTCCACCTAAGGCTCACCAACCTCCCGACTAGAGGCGGCCCATGGTATGTTGGGTTGTGGAAACTGATCGAGGGACTTACCACCCTCAGTGTCCTTCAGGTTGAACTACCAGTCATCAGCAGGGCCAGATATCCTAAAGTATTTGACGAAAGGGGTTGGTTGATCCCGCTTGCTGGAACGTTCGCTCCAAAGATACCACCAACTTGGGAAGGCAACACCTCGTGTGTCCATACATTGACTTTGTCAGGGTTTATAGTCGATGCTGCCCTGATAAAAAATGTCAAGAGACTGTCTCTTATTGGCTGCATGCGCATGAAGTCAAAGTTTCGCCCCGAATGGACCAATCTTGAGTACTTCCGTGCCACTGGCTGGGCCTTCATCGACCTTGCAATGAAGTCTACCGATAAAACCACTAGAGAGCTGCACTTCACAGCAACCCCAGGGGAAATTTCGCCTTCTCCTACAGTGGACCTCACAAAAAAAATCTTCCTTGAACACTACCCTATCCTCCATAACCTGCAGAAATTGACCCTAAAGCCCCAATGGCATCTTGCTCCGCGCGAGATGACTTATCTGCTCCGTCATGGGAATCGCCTCACGTATCTTGGATTATGGGTTCCAGAGGAGGTCTGGGGACTCTTTCTCCGCTATGTCCCTTCTATGCATCGTCTTCAGAAGATTCACATTCTCAACGAGGGCGTCGACAGGGTTGGAGAGGTGGCGGGCAGGTTGATTGGCTCCAGTAGGATCTACCAGGGGACCATTATTGCGATTGGAAAATGTGCCTGGAGAGTTACCCTCGTGCGGGATTTATTTGATGACTGGCAATGGGGGGTTGTGAGGATTAGGGATGGGCTCGATGAAGTACTTGGGAAGGGACTTGGTGGGGGTTGCTAGGGGTTACGGAAATCCTGGGGTTGATCTCAGTGATTCTCACTCGTCAACGCGCGCAGGGAGGTTCAAGTGTGCCTTTTGGGTGAACCTTGGGGATCAGATGGAACATTTACATTGGAGTTCTGGTACGGAGAAATTTTCATGTGAATTTTCCCGGTTTTCTCGGATTTACTTGTCTTTTTCCCTTCTCTCTAAAATTGGTGTCCAACCGTTGGCTTTGCTTGAGCCTTACTCGCCCTTGATAGTTCATGTTGGTCATCAATAATATGTCTCAATTATCTCATAGGTCTCTTGGGCATAGCTTAGGTCATCAATGGAAGAATCGTAGTTCCTCTATCTCTACTCTGCTTTTGCGGTGGATTGCTTTATGCCATGGATGATCATGGTGTATTGGAGAGGTTGCTAATGAGAGAACTGTACTTGTACAAGTACTGATAACCTAGGATTGGCTATAATTCCAGTATACTACCACTGTTCCACAAAGCCTATTCTACGCTCGCCGTAATATCTACCAACGATCGAATTATTTTCTGGGGGGGGGGCAAAGGGTGTGGTCCAATAAGGCCCCGTTACTGTGCTGCACTGCTCTATTGTTTGGATTGAGCCCCTTCCCCGTGACATACATTTGGCCGCCCCTCTCCTCCCTGCGTGAACCGGAAACAACCCATCAACCATCCCCCCCTTCACAGTCTTCAAACACGGCTACCCATTGGCCCATTAGTACCATTGTACCGCGTTCTTTGTTTAATACGATCCTTTTACTCCTGGTGTAATTTTGAAGTTGACTTCTAAAGCTGTTGGGGCAGCTTTAGGCCTCTAGAGTCTAGGCAGTCCCGTCGGCACCCACTATGTATAGTATCATACGTGTGCTTGTACGAGTACATAATATACAATCATGATCCTATTATTTTTTCTATTATAATTATATTATTTAAACGATTTACCCCAAAATCATATATTACAGAGGGTATAGCATCCAAATAATATTATATCAGTACAATAGGAAGATAAAAATAATTTCTCTTGTTAAAATCTACTTCCTAAGTCACAAATATACCATTACTAAGATTACAAACTATGGCTAATGTAACACATTTCTCCTCTTGTCGCCAAAAGTTGAACTTTTTAAAATGGAAAGGCTCCTCAACCAGTAATGTAAATGAAGAGAAAAAAACCTCCTGATTATTCTCCTTCATCTTCTCTTTCTTGCTGAGGGGTTTCTTTCTCTCATAACACTACTGGTTGTAAAGCCTTTCAAATTTTAAACCCCTTGAAAATCTAGTGCACGTTTTGGATGGCATGCACTATAGTACTTGTGCTTCCGATACAGGATTGACAAGGTATCCAGAGCCGAGATCTCAATTGACCCGAAGTTGGGGTTAAGCTCGTAGGCTCAGGATCTTTGCCTACGGAGCATCACACCGAAGGGTTAAACAAGATAGGCCACCATACCGACATATAAGATGTCTCAATGTCCCCCAACGAAAGGAAGCCGATTAACGCTCGTTAAGTGCCCCACTTCCACTCCTTCTTCAAACTCGAGGGGGAAAAGATACCACAACATTCGTTAATTCAAACATATCTGAATAATCCAACAAAATGCCACAAGTTAGATCCCTTCTTTTGGGTGCGTCTCTCCTCCTCGGTGCAGCAGCAGCTCAGGGACCCCCCCCAAAGCCGCAAACAACCCTATCCCCCCACGCCCTCAAGGACTGCGGCTGCGACGCTGTCGTCAAAAACTTCCTCAGCTGCCAGAGCCTCACCAAGGGCGGCCACGACTGCGTCTGCCAGGACAGCTGGTACGGCAGTAGCAATGCTTGCCGAGACTGTCTAATACTCGCCAACGATTCCCTGCACCTTCCGCCCTCCAACGACTTTTTCGGAAACTTCGAGCAGGTCCTGACGAACGTGTTTACCGCCTGCACCCTTCCCGGAGGGTTGGTCAGCACGAATGGTAGTGCTGTGTGCGGGCGGGTTCCCAGCAGTGATGCCTGCGTTCATCTTAGCCCCAAGGCTGGCGAAAAGAGTTGGGCTACTAGGCAGGACTGCACGACTGGGGAGGTGCTTGCCGGATACTTCGAGCTGAATTTGGGGGATGTTACGAAGGGTAATAATACCAGGACGACCGCCACCACCAATGCTACCTGTATTCCTCCTCCCTCGACCTCCGTTCATGCCCGTCCTAGCAGCTCTGCCCATTGGTCTGCTACTTCGGCTCCGTTCCCTTTCACAAATGGTAGTGCTCCTACCGGATATGCCCCCGGCGCTAGAAATACCTCCATCCCTTTCCCTGTATCTAATTCTGCTTCTCCGATGGGAGCCATTGCTGGGCTCTGGGCTTCTGCGTGTGCTCTTGGTGCACTTGTTACTGTGGCATTCTTGTAAATGGGTGGAAACTTGTTTTCCCTTAGAGCATATAAACCTAGATACGCGATTCAAAATGTTGAGGATGGGTGATGCTGGATGACAATTTTTTTGATCTTGATAGTGTGCGATGACGATAATAATTGGGTGTGCGGTATCTGGGCCTTTTGCGATTGGCGATTGGGAGTGGCAGGGACGTTATGGGCCGCTTTCTAATAATACTCAACTTTCTTCGGTGCATGAGGGGGCCATGCAATGTTATGTCTGGGTTTCGAGCAAGTGAGTTTTGCGAGGCTGAGCCTGGACTCACGGCACTGTACTCGTAGAGGCTGCTTGGGGTTCGCCAGGTCTCGGGCCCCAGCCAGGATGTTTTAAGTTAAGTCCAGGGCTCGCCCGAACGGTGCCTCATTGCCTCGCTAGAAGAGATTCCCGGCCAGATTAAAGGTTGTTTCTCTCTTTTTTTTTTTTTTGCTCCCCCTCTTCGAAACCACATACTATAAATGATTCAATGGCTTGGAAGGTATAGTGGTGGTAATAAGAACCCTGAAATTGCTGATGCCGGACGACCCTGGTCTGTAACAGTGTGTATGGTACTTTCAACATTTGTAGTTATTCCCTTTCCACCGATCGTATACCCATGCTAATCCATTTGTTCTGGGGAAAGCTTCTGTGATATCAAGAAGGAGCCGCCTGGGAGCTCGAATGCCCCATACAAATTTCCCGCCATAACGGGATCTGCGTTGGAGGATGCTAAAACGAAATTGAAATTGAAATTGAATTCTCCCTCCCCCCGTTCCCATACAGACTCAATCCGCTATGTACTTTACTTTCTAGATGGAATCTGCCATAGTTTGGTACGGTGTAATAATCTAGGATTTTGAGAAGTTTTGTCCTGAGACTCCCCCCCCCCCCCATCCTACACTGTCCTTGATTGAGACGTGCACTTAATAGTAAGGCCCACTCCTGACTGACCCTTTGCGGATATCCCCTTCTTAAATTCGATGGTATTATGCCCTGGAGCCAGAACCGGTAAATCCAAGAGCGGAGACACTCTCGAGAGATAACTATTCCCTCTGGTTCTTTCCGTACACGGATGAAGCAGCCATTTGGGTGATAGTCATGACCAAGTATTTGAAAAAACACCTCAAGGAAAAAAAAGAAAAATAATAATGCCTCCCATAATGTTTGGATGCCTATTTGTAACTTTCTGTGTGGCATGATAACCTCGCTATTGAAAGGGAGGGCCTGGACACCCGGCGTTCGTTATAGCGGAGTGCGACTCTACTCAGGGTCCTCTACTCTAGTCCCTCTCATTCTAGTCTAGTTCGTCGGAATCTATATATGTGAGCAACGCTAACAATGCATCCAAGAAACATCTGCAGGCCAGCTGAGCCAACTTTTGGTGAGCAAACACCGTTCACCGAGTGGGGTGGGTATCATAAAGAAGGCCCGGCAGCCAGCCAGCTGGAGGAAAAAAACCCGGTGACCGACTTACTTACTTGTACAGTTACGATACTCCACATTCATAGGTACAATACCAGGTACAGGGAGGGGGTGACGGATAAAACGATAGGAATGTACTTGCGCCATACCGCTGGTGCCGGAAGAGAATGGTGTACGAGTACTTGTGTGATACCGGCACGGTAAACCAAACCAATATGGGATTTTCGAAACCGGATAAATTAGCGAGTATGATATCTATCCGAACCCAGCAAGGGGGAAAACAAAGAAAAAACGTATGGTAGAAACATGGGCAAATGAAGGGAGAAATAAAAGTACTTCCCCCCCCCCTCCTCCGTTCATGAAAGGAGGAGGGATTTATATCTGGGTCGGAAAAGGCAATGTTTGAGGTAAGGTAGTTCAGGGGTCTTTTCCTGTGCCACCAGTCACTATAGTACTAAGTTACCAGGTATCATACCCTTTCGGCAATGTTCGCGGCCATTAAGGGTTTTTCCAAGAGGTCACGTGCTATAGAAGGTCAGTTGGGTGGTAAGCACTGGTCCACAGGCGGCTGAACAAATCATGCAGAGAACGGTCTATGATATCGTACTTGTACCTGTATGTCAGGGGGCAGATGTAATACGGGTATCATATGGTAAGTAGAGAACATAATGAAAAGGGACTTAACAACTGGTGCGCTACCCTCACTACTTGTACTTGTACCGTAGGAATGACAACCGCAACTCAATTAGGCACAGGAAGCCAACCTTTTTTGTCTGAGAATTCAGGCGGAATCATCCACCGGTCCTTTGGGAGCACCCCTATCAAATACGGTACTTGTTACAGCATACTCATTTAACCTCCTTCGGGCTTCCCAGCGTTTATAACCTTAAAAAAAAAGACCCAATCCACTATCAGGTAAGCACGAGACCAAAACCGCAAGAAGCCCAGCTGAGCATATTAACTATATTTTTTTACAAACCCCGATTAATGAGAAGTCCTGCTACGTATATATGATAAAGAAGCTCATGTAGTACAACATTATTCCTCCCCGAGGTGTTTTCTCTCAGACTGCGGGGAACAGAGGGCTGACGGGGATAGTGGGCTACCCAGGTTTTTCTTCTTCTTTACGCCTACCCATTCGCTTGTGAGCCTGCTTTTCAAGCTCGACCCGGCCATGCCCGGTCAATTTGGGGGATGAGTTCCAAGTTCAAGGCTATTACCGTAGTCCCAGGTCGATTCGTCATTACTTCGGCAGTAGAGGGAGAGCGGCCATCCTGTTGATTGACTAGGGCATTAATCGCGCTGCGCGGTCGCTCGGGGACCTGAATGGTAGATCTCAAATAAATGAATATAGACATATTTATTAGCGGTGGTAATTTTTCAGTAGGTGCTGGAAAACACCCCCTTTTATATATATATTTAATGAGGATCGCAGCTAGTTTCCACCATACAGAGGTACAAGGCTGAGGATAAGAGTGGTAAGCAGCAACTGCACAATCTTCACCACACAACAGCCCCCTTGCCGATGAAATCAAGATAA